AGGGCGTTTGGTTAAAGGGATTTTAAATTCCCTTCCCACTTAATTCCCACCTAATTCCAAAGGCCATTAAATTCCGTAGTTTGGTTGGAGGGAATTGCAATTCCATGGAATTGCAGTTCCCCCATTTTCATGGAATTAAAATCCCATGTCTCCCCCTGGTATTTTAATTCCTGGAAAAAAAAGATAGTGATGAGTCAAAATTACCCCTTCCTTTTTTAACCTAAAATTAATGTTTAACAACAATAATGGACATTTTTGACTTTATACTACTTATTCCCTTTCAATTCCCATGTATACCAAACATTAGAATTAAAATTCCCAGTATTTCTATTCCTATCAACCAAACACTGGAATTTAAATTCCCACTTTATTCCCAGTAATTCAACTCCCATGGAATTACAATTCTTTTCCCACATAATTCCCCCCTCCAACCAAACGCCCTGTTAGTTTATTAAAAAGACTAAGAGTGTGTTTGATAAATAGTTGTTAACTGATTAAGTTAATGAGTTTGACTAGTTGATATCATTAGTTGATTGTAGAAAGGTGTTTGGTTAATTAGTTGTTAGGTGATAGCTGATTACATACAAATTTTTCAAAAAGATGATCGAAAAAACTGTTTTGATCAACCTTTTAAATTTTAGTGTTTTGGAACAATAAATTGATGTTACAAAAAACTAATTAATCAAACACTCATATTAGTTGTTTATCCAAAGCAAACAACTAATAGTGATCAAACTAGTCAAAATTGATTGATAGGCTAATTATTGTATCAAATAGGGCCTAAATTTTTATAAAATGTTAGGTGTCGACACATGTTCTAATTTTATTAGATAAAAAGAAAAATGAAAAGAGAAAATAGAATAAGAAATAGAGTAATCAAACTCATTGCAATTATTTTTAAAATGTAGGCTAAAATGTGGTCCCGTATCATGAACCATTCCTGATTATTCATGCCGCACCATGATCTTTAAAAGTAATATTTAGAGCCATAAACCATAATTTTTTTTTTTCGTCTAGAACTTTTTATAGGTTTTCTACAGGTTACCGGTAATAATATTGCAGACATGAAATTTTTTATTAGTTTTTTTTTATGTATTTTTCTTTTTTCTCCTTCGTATTATTTTTTCTGTATTTTTTCTAAACATATAGGTCTGCTCTGCGTTTTTCGCTTCTCATTTCCCCGATCAAGCCTGCTCTGCGGAGTTTGGTATCAGAGAAACGAGAAGTGAAAAACGCAGAGCAGGCCTATACATTTAGGAGAAAAAAAAAGAGAAAAATACGAAAAAAATTATAATACGAATGTGAAAGAAGAAAAATACGAAAAAAACTAATAAAAAATTCCTTGTTAGCAGTATTATCTCATAAAATGCAAAATATAATGATAATTATTACAAGTTACATCAATTAAGATAATAATTAATAATTTTGTTCAAATGATATTTTTTCTAAATATATTGACAAAAACTGTTGGAGTTAATGCTTGGAGAATTGAATATAATATCATGTAATTGAAATGCTACACTACCTGGTATTCAAGTAAAGAAACAAATATTACATATATTTGACATTAACTATAACTTTTGGGTATTTAAAAAAAAAAAGTTATAAGTTTTGGTTTAGTATTAACATGACGTTTGGTTGGAGGGAATTTCAATTACATTCCCACCTTTTTCATGGAATTAAAATTCCATGCCCCCCTTGAGATTTTAATTTCATGAATTTTAGGAAGAAAAAAGGATAATGATGAGACAAAATTACCACTCTCGCTCCTTTTTTAACCTAAAATTGATGTCTGGCAACAACAATGAATATTTTGGACTTTATACTACTTATTCCCTTTCAATTCTCATGTATACCAAACATTGGAATTGAAATTCCCAGTAATTTTATTTCTCTAAACCAAATACTAGAATTTAAATTCCCACTTTATTTCCAATAATTAATCTCCCGTGAAATTGCAATTCCTTTCGCACGTAATTCCCACCTTCTAATAAAACGTTCCGTAAGTTATTGACTTTGAATTGCGATGAAATAAAGTTTAATTTGTACGGAAATCAAGTTTCCTCGCTTGATCCTGACAAAATATCTACTATAGAATATAGATTAGTAGCTTGATCCTGACAAAATATCTACTATAGAATATAGATTTGTAGCTAGACTCATGTTAATCCCATTTTGCTAGACAATTAATATTTTTATTTTGAGATTTTTATTTATAATTATGTGCATTTTAATGTCTCATATGACTTGGCATTTAACTTTTACTTAATTGCAACAGCTTTTACTCAAATAAGATGCATTCAGATATATACAACAACAAATAAATTATTAATTTGTATCCGCGTTTAAACTCGTCATTAAATGCTTTTATTTTTTCATTATTGTAATAGAAATTACTTAATTAAGAATGACAACTTAATTAAATGCCAAAATAAGAATATAAATTTTGGGTGTGCTTGGTTCATGCATGAGAACCCGAATCAGAATGATAATCAAATACTTGGTAATAGTAATAGTAATGGTTTTGGTGAAAGTATTTTGCATGTTTGGTGGTAGGCCATATAGAATTGGAATGATTACTAATATTAATGTTTGGTTATATATTGTTGAGCCATTAATGTGCAATTTAACTATCAGTTTAGGCTTTTAGTTGAGATGGAACACATACTTCAATTTAGTATCAGAGCCAGACTAAAGGTTATGGGTTCGAATCTTACCGCTACCCATAAGTGACTGCAGTTCACGTGTTGTTTGGGGGCGTGTGCGCATATAGCCATTAATGTGCAATCCAACTATTAGCTTAGGCTTTTAGTTGACATGGAGCACACATGCTTCTATTTGGTATCAGAGCCAGACCAAAGGACACGAGTTCGAATCCCACCGGCTTGGGGGCGTGTGCGCATATAGCCATTAATGTGCAATCCAGGCTTTTAGTTGACATGGAGCACACATGCTTCTATTTGGTATCAGAGCCAGACCAAAGGACACGAGTTCGAATCCTCACCGCCACCCATAAGCGACTACGGTTCACGTGTTGCTTGGAACCCACCGCACACGTGAGGGGGTGAATGGAGCCATTAATGTGCAATCCAAATGCCCGTATAACGAGTATAAAAATTTTGAAAATAGAAAAACAAAAAATTGAAGGTTAACCCAAACTTAAAAACCAAATTCCAAATATATTATGGAATGATACGGCCTTTTTAATTAAAAAATGTGATTTTTAATTGAAAGGGTATTCAATCACATAATTGTATTTTAAAAAGTTGTTAACCAAACAATAACTATGATTTTAATGATTCTAATTCCTAATATGTAAACTCCCATAAACCAAACACACCTTAAATGTTTTAACCATATAAAGATGCCAATTAACTCAATACTGTATATTAAATGAATGACCATTAGAGGAAATTCCACTTTAGTTATAGACGATAGCATCATTATTACTACATTTAATTTAATTAGTAATATTCATTCCGTTTATGTCAAAATAGTTGATGATTAAAAGTAAAATTTACTGTTTTTTTTTTAAAAAAAAAAAAGAGTAAAACTTAGTTTATTAAAAAGACTAAGAGTGTGTTTGATAAATAGTTGTTAACTGATTAAGTTAGTGAGTTTGACTAGTTGATATCATTAGTTGATCGTAGAAAGGTGTTTGGTTAATTAGTTGTTAGGTGATAGCTGATTACATACAAATTTTTCAAAAAGATGATCGAAAAAACTGTTTTGATCAGCCTTTTAAATTTTAGTGTTTTGGAACAATAAATTGATGTTACAAAAAACTAATTAATCAAACACTTATATTAGTTGTTTATCCAAAGAAAACAACTAATTGTGATCAGACTAGTTAAAATTGATTGATAGGCTAATTATTGTATCAAATAGGGCCTAAATTTTTATAAAATGTTAGGTGTCCACACATGTTCTAATTTTATTAGAGAAAAAGAAAAATGAAAAGAGAAAATAGAATAAGAAATAGAGTAATCAAACTCATTGCAATTATATTTAAAATTTAGGCTAAAATATCATCCCGTATCATGAACCATTCCTGATTATTCATGCCGCACCATGATCTTTAAAAGTAATATTTAGAGCCATAAACCATAAATTTTTTTTTTTTTCGTCTAGAACTTTTTATAGGTTTTTCTACAGGTTACCGGTAATAATATTGCAGACATGAAATTTTTTATTAGTTTTTTTTTAGGTATTTTTCTTTTTTCGCCTTCGTATTATTTTTTTCTGTATTTTTTCTAAACATATAAGTCTGCTCTGCGTTTTTCTCTTCTCATTTCCCCGATCAAGCCTGCTCTGCGGAGTTTGGTATCAGAGAAACGAGAAGTGAAAAACGCAGAGCAGGCCTATACATTTAGGAAAAAAAAATACGAAAAAAATTATAATACGATAGTGAAAGAAAAAAAATACGAAAAGAACTAATAAAAATTCCTTGTTAGTAGTATTATTACTGGTAACGTGTAGGAAACCTGTAAAAAGTTCTAGACGAAAATAAAAATTATGGTTTATGGCTCTAAATATCACTTATTAAAGATCAGGTGTGGCATAAATAATCAGGAATGGTTCATGGTGCGAGATGACACTTTAGTTTAAAATTTAACTAGCTTGGTTGGCGTGAATAGTTGTGCATCTGGTCCTTTAACAGAGGTCAGGAGTCTCTCCCCAACACTAGTAGCAAGATAGACTCGAGTCCATGGTATAACAATTGTTTCGTGGTCAGAAAAAATAAAATAAAATTATACTTTCAAATATAAAATTTTAATATGAAGTTTTTTGCAAAATAAAACCGCCTTACAGATTATCACTATTCAGTATTCACTCTTCCTCCCTCCCTCTGATATGTAACCGTTACAAGTGGACTATGCCGCTTTCGGTATATATATATACACCGGCCTCACTCTCCATTCACTCAAACGTACTCTCCTTTCTCTAGCTCTCTCCCTCTCTCTCTCATCTCTTCATTCCTTTTCTATCTAGGCGATAAAATGGACCTTGCTCTCCTCCAGCAGCACCTCATTGCAAACATTGAAGCTCTGCAACGTGAAGTAATTATATTAGATCATCCTTGCATAATGCATATCAGTTTTTCTGATCTCTAATTTTCCTTTTTTTTTTTTTTTTTTTTTTTTTTTTTTTTTTTTTTTGTATAAGAATTTGCTTGAGCTTAATTTTATTTTATGTTTTGGAATTGATCGAGTTGGATTTCAGGTTTTAATTTTGAGGGGAAGAATTTGATCTCGGTTCGACAATCATTCCATTTAAGCTGATATGTCAGTGTGTATGATCGTGCATATGCTGATAATCCTGATATATATATATATATATATATATATATATATATATATATATATATATGTGTGTGTGTGTGTGTGTATCTACACGCACAGGTGCTATATGTGCTCATATATCATATTAAAACCCTAAGATTATGGGTATAAGGTTGATCTATCTTGCTATTATCATTCATCATGATGAGTACAAATTTGACATTTTTAAAAAAAATAAAATTGTTTTATTTTTCCATTAAAATTAAGTTTTTTTTTTTTTTTTGGTACTTTTTCTTCAAATAAAAACAAAAACTGTTGTATATGAAATCTGTATAGTTACTGGTTTATGAATCATTTGGTATGTGCGGTTGTAGGAGGAGGTTTTTCTAGTTTATCAGTAGTTTAACAGACATATATGCATCTATATATCGTGTGTGTGTATATATATATATATATATATATATATATATATATATATATATTTATATATATATATATACTGATAATTCTGGTTTGTTGCAGGGCTATGTTGATCACTATATGAAGATGTGCTATGGGCTGAAAGAGACTTCTGGCATAACATTCTTCTTAGAATTGATTGTTACTTTTCTAACAGACGCTGCTACTGTCATAGATGATATGACTGCCACAGTGTAAGTTCTGACCTACTAACTTGTTTTTGTTCTCTGAGAACTAAAAATATTATGCTTTTGTATGTTATTAAAAAAGATAAATATGTATCTATGTTTTTAACTGCATCTAGTGAACATCCGATTCTGGACTATGATAAGATGCAGGAGCTTGCCATCAAGCTCAAGGGAAGTTCTGCATGGTAAGTACTTGAACACAAAAGTCATCAGATTATATATATAGAGTTTTTTGCACTTTTAGTCCCACGACTATAGTGGCATTGGCAGAATTGATCCACGACTTTTGAACTTTACAATTTTAGTCCACGACTATTGATTTTTTTTTGCAAAAATGGTCATTCCGGCCACTTTTCCGTCAAAATTTCACCGAATTTTTTTTTTCTTTTTTTAGCCGGGTTAAAATTGACATTTTACTTATCTCAAAAAATTAAAAGAAAAAAATTGATATTTGACTACATACAATATTACTGGGCTACATACTACTGCCCCAGGCGGCGGAGTACATGTACCACTCCAATGCTGCTGTCGGATAAGCCAACTAGCCCGGGGAACGTCACGGTCGCTCCGCCACTTACTGACAGCCCTGCCTGCTCCAGGAACTCCGCCGCCTGGGGCAGTAGTATGTAGCCCAGTAATATTGTATGTAGTCAAATATCAATTTTTTTCTTTTAATTTTTTGATATAAGTAAAATGTCAATTTTAACCCGGCTAAAAATGGAGAATTTTTTTTTTTTGGTGAAATTTTGACGGAAAAGTGGCCGGAAGGACCAGTTTTGCAAAAAAATCAATAGTCGTGGACTAAAATTACAAGGTTCAAAAGTCGTGGATCAATTCTGCCAGTGCCACTATAGTCGTGGGACTAAGGGGGGGGGGGGGGGGGGACCCGGATTAGGTCGAGATGAAATGTAATATTTATTATATTCTAACAAATGTAATACTAAATCATCAATAAAATATTTATTACTTATATGAAAAAATATAATACTTTTACATTTTGATGTAATAGTATTATATTTTTCATCAAAAGTATTACATTTTTCTTTATAAGTGCAACATTACGGAAAAATATAATACTTTTGATGAAAAAAGTAATACTTTTACATTGAAATGTAAAAGTATTACATTTGTATTATGTTTTTCCATAAGTAACAAATATTTTATTCCTGATTTAGTAATTACAATTGCTAGTATAAGTATTACATTTGCATATTGATTCAATCCGTCTCACGGATCCAATGAGATCACCTCTTTCCCTGATCAGTGAAGCCCTTTATGAATGCACACAATCTACTATACGAATGAACACAAACTACTCCAAGATAGATTGTGTGCATTCATGTTAGGCAAATTTCACACAATCTAGTTTGTGTGCATTCATGAAAGGACTTAGGGAAGATGTTGTATCATTTTATCATTAGTTTATATATAGAGTTAATTCCAGCAATGGTCCCCTAAGTATGATGATTTTCCAGATTTGGTCATAGACTTTTAATTTGGACAATTTAACCACCCGTCTATTAAAATTTTTTTCCAATTGAGGTCCTTCCGTCAATTGTTGGTTAAGTCAGCGTCAATTTCAGGGGCAAATTGGTACTTTTACTTACTAAGCGTATTTATACTCTTCATTCCACCATATATACGGGAATAAATACACATACTCTACGCGGCAGCATCTTCCTCATCCGAAGTCCTAGAAGCACCGAATACATCCGAAGCCCTCATCCCAATTCATCTTCCTCTACCTTCCAACGAATTAGCAGCGAGATGTCTACAAGATATAGCAGCGAGAGCTCTTTATCTTCAAGAAGGCAGGAATACATCCGAAATTGTGACAGGACCTTCCGAAATTCGCAAGTTTTCTCGATCTGTTCTTGCAGAACGACGTCGCATTATGGAAGCAGGACTTCGCGGGAGATCTAATCTCGCCGGGATACACCATCTCCAATGGCGGTATCCCCTTTTGATTCCACCGTCGTTAGGGCTGGCCCACACCAATGGACTCAAACAAAACGCGTTCCGGCCGAGACCAACTTTGCTGCTGCCGCCTCTATGCTACGTCAGAGTCTTTCTCGGTGTCTGTTTCCATGCTGGCGACGACTGCCCGCTCAATCCGCCCTGGTAATCCTCTTCGTTCTCCTCATCGGAGTACCTAGCCGGTGACATTTCTCTGTCACAATTTCGGAGTGTTCTCTGCCTCACTCCGATTGTAGCTTCGTCTAACGAAAGCGACCGGGTTTTCTCCCCCCGACGACCTGCGACAATTGTGGAGAGCCACGAAGGAGACGACGGCGGCATAGTGCTACACCGATCATCCGAATTCGACACCCTGGGCTCCGAATCCGAATCCAGATCACCCGATTTAGACCTAAACATATGATAAAACAAGGAAAACATATAATTCTTCTTCTTATCCTTCTTATTGGTATACTTGCTCCAGGAAATTAATTCTCCAGTTGGGCCTACTTATGGAGTAGCATGGAATCTCTGATCCGCCAAGCCATGCCGGCTGAGGCGCCAGGTGACGGCGGTATCAAATTCCCATCGAGAAGCATACGGCAAAACGGACTGAGGAAAAACAATACGCTTGTATTTATTCCCGTATATATGGTGAAATGAAGAGTATAAATACGCTTAGTAAGTAAAAGTACCAATTTGCCCCTGTAATTGACGGTGACTTAACAAACAATTGACGGAAGGACTTCAATTGGAAAAAATTTAATAGACGAGTGGTTAAATTGTCCAAATTAAAAGTCTAGGACCAAATCTGGAAAATCATCATACTCGGGGGACCATTGCTGGAATTAACTCTTTATATATATATATATATATATATATGATATTTGATACTAACATATAGTTATATACTCAGTTCTAATCATGGAGCTTAACTGTATATGCAGCATTGGGGCTTGTAGGATAAGTGCTGGTTGCACTCAGTTACTCCAAGAAATTAGAAGAAGATCACGGAGAGAGTATGGAGGGATTATTAATTTTCTTTTTCAAACAAATTCACTGTCCAACAATAAAATCTTAAAATTGAATTGTCTCTTTGTTTTCCTTCTCATATCAGCTGCAAACTGGTAGTCGAGATGATGATCATAGAAAGATCCACCTTGGAAATCAAGCTGGAGACTATTATGCAGGTGACATAAAGTTTATATATATGCAAGATTTATTATGCTATACAACATTGCCTACGCATTCTTAAATGCGTTATGTTCTTGTTTTCAGCTGGAGCGTGAGATCGTTGACAGACAATTACAGTGAACTACCGGTGAGTTGTGATTTTTAGTTAGTTTTATTATTTGTTTTTTTTTTGGGTCTCGTGTCTTATTCTCTGATCCTTAAGGACCAGGGTTCACAATGCACTGTGTACCCTAGTGCATGTGTATATATGTCTTTATATTATGAGTTTTGTGTCTTCTGTTACAAATTTCTATACCATTAAAAGTATGAATTTTGTACCTGAAATAAATTTATAATTGTGTCTTATATTATGTATTTTTGTATCTTTGTGTTGTAAAATTTTGTGCATATAAACACAAATTATGTACCTAAATCAAATTTGAAAAATAAGTAAATATATAACATGTATATATGTGTCTTGTGTTGTGATTTTTTATATCGTATTAGGAAATTATGTACATCACGAGTATGAATTCTGTACCTCGTCGTTTTGATTCAAGGTCCATAATGTTATGTAGACTCTGGTTCATGATAATTTTTTTAAGTACTACTGACTCTGTTACAATGTAGTATCTGTTCATAACTGCTTTCTCAACCTATTGAAGCACAAAGAGTCATTAACGCTCCCACCGAAGATCGAACCCATGACCTCCCTGATCCATGATATAAATTGTCTTTGATCTCTAACTTTTAGTACGTTTGAATGCAGGCTGGATGCATGGATGGGTGGCTTCGTGGGGATCGGAATTGTTAGATGAAGTGTTGAGCACTTAGATTTAATTTTCTGCCTTTCTCAACCTTTTTCTAATTACTTTCTATATGTATTTTGTAATAATTCGGATTGCTTTTCAATGCTACATGAAATAGAAAGCTTCCCTTTTATATTGTTCACAAAAAATGTTAATTGATGGAATAATCACGGAGTCGGAGCGGGGCAGGATATACGAATCGGGTCGGACCCCGTACCCACCCGCGAGACAGGACGAACCACCCCGGGGTCAGCGTGGGCCGACCCCCTGAGCTCGGCTGAGCCCCGTGGGCTCGGCCTCGGCCCTCATGGGCTCGGTCGAGCCCACGCTCGGCCCCTTAGCCGAGCTCCGTGCACGGCCAAGGGCCGGGTCCTCGCGTAGAGCGAGTCCCGCGGCTCCTCCCGCGGGCCCAGGGCCCGTAGCAGCCGGGGAGTATATAAACACCCCCCCGGTGTCCTAATTAGGCATCTCATACTTTCCTACAACCTTTGTCTTGTTATTACACGTCCCGAATCTCTGTAATAGCATTTTATGTCCAATTAATACAATATTTATCATTTTATTATTCGTTCTTTATATTCCATTTCATATACAGGTTGTATAGTCCGGACCCCCGGGTTCATATAATCCATCATTAGTGCTCTTGTTGAGAGCGGTTGTGCAAGCTTAAGCGTCTCCCTATTATCCTTCATTGACAGCAATGACAAGATCCGGGTCAAACACCCACAACTCGCAGGGTTCGCGCCACACACGCGACCTCTCCCTCGCCAACCACCCCAATGGGAACACAGCAAGTCGGCAGACCATGCCCGTAGGGGCGGGAGGGGACCTCCGAGATCAGATCAACGGGAGTCGGCAGGGGGCCGTGGAGGACCTCCGGGGTCGTCTCACTAACAATTGCCCTCTCGGCGGGACGGTGCCACCCGCGCCACCGCAGGTCCCGACCTCCCAGGAAGATGCCGCCATACTCGAGCAGGCGGCGAACGCACTCAACCGCATCGCAGGTGGGCTGCGTCGGGGAGACCCAGCACCCCCACCTCCGCCCCTTCCGAGGGCGCGTAGTGGCCCCAGCACTCAAGCACCCCGGGAGCCCGTAGGAGTTCATGAACATCATCATCTTTGGCCTTCATTTCGAACTCATATGCTTTTAGATCACTAAATAATTTGTCTGTTGACAACATTCTTAGATCTCGGTGATCGCGCATAGCCGTAACCATCATATCCCATGCAGATGGTAAGCCTCGTAGGATTTTGAGATTAATTTCTTTTTGGCTAATATTTTTGCCAAGATCACTAATCTCTCCAAGAACTTTGATCATTCGAGCTTCCATGTCTGCAACACTTTCATTTGAGAGCATTTTGAAATCTTCAAACTTCTTCATGGAGATTGTGAGCTTATTATCCTTTTCTTGTTCATCTCCTTCGCCAATCTTGATGAGAGTTTCCCAAATTTCTTTTGCGGTAGCACTATTTCGGATCTTCGGAAATATTGTATCATCCACGGCTTTGAATAGAATATCCATTGCAATATTGTCAAGATTATTCCGTGTTCTATCATCCGATGTCCATTCGGGTTTAGGCTTTTGTACGTACTGTGGAGCATCCGGGGATAGGACAAACGCCGTATTGATTTTTAATATTTTGATAGGGCCAGTGGAAATAACTTCCCACATTTCATCGTGTAAAGCCGATAAGTGTACCTGCATACGAACTTTCCAATCATCAAATTTATCAAGTGAGAATAATAGATTTTGAGCTAAATCTTTCTTCATCATCATCACGAGAGATTTGAAAGATTAATCCAATCCACACACTTTGTATAATGGATCAGCCTAGCAGTCAAAAATAGTTGACCCAATTTAGGGACAAATTTTGACTCGGATAAATACCCGCTCTCAAACCTATTTTTGGTCCCAAAAGAGGTAAGGTGAAAGTCTAGAGAGGGGGGGGGGGGGGGGTGAATAGACTTTCAAACTTTTTCGCACAGCACAACAATTGCTAAGACAGAGATAAACCAAAACTCTTAACTAGATTGTTAGAGTATTGTGCACAGCGGAAATAAATAAAGATAAAGTGTGTGTGAGATTGTGTGAGGTTATATCTCGTGTAGAGCAATTAAGTAAAGAGCAGTAAGTAAAGAAAGCAGTAAAGAACACAAGACAATTATAGTGGTTCGCGAGGTGGTGTAATCCTCCTACTCCACTTGCTCTTATTTCCAAGAGCAATTCACTATATCTACCACTTCTTGGTTCCAAGATACAATGAATTTCCGTGATCTAGTGCTTTGATCACAAAGCCCGCACTAATCACGCCCAGTGACACCACACTGCTGCTTCGGGTTTCATGTCGCCGCGCTACTATCCCAGGATTTCACGACTCCGCGTTACTTTCCCCCCGTCTTCCACACTCCGGTAGAAACGTATCCGTGATCTGGTGCTTTGATCACTAAGCCCACACCAATCACATCCAGTGCCTCCGACACTACTGCTTCGGATCTCACAGCTCCGTGTAACAATCTAGGATTTCACAGATCCGTGCTACTTTCCTCCCTTCTCTTGTTTTGCTCCAAAACAAGTGTTGTCTTGCTTCCGACTTCTGAGACTCTGTAGTTGATCTTCAATGATGCGCAGGTCTCTTTGATGAAGATGAACACTCTTGAAAGATTTCTCTTGAACGCTCTGAGTGTTTTCTCTCTTTGGATGAATCAAGTAAAGCACTTGATTTTTATGCTCTGTTTTGCTCTGTTTAAGAACTCTCAGAATACTTTTCTCTTGAAGCTCTCTGAGTTCTTTTTCTTTTCTCACTTCTCAATTGAAGATTTTTGGTATGCTCTGTACCAAATGGGATTTTTGCTCTTTGCTCTTTGTGAGTTCATATTGTTCCGTGATCTTCAAGTCTTCATATCTTCATCATTTTATAACTGGTAATGAGGATCTGTCCGTTGGATAGAGACGATCTCATTTTTGAAATCTTGTATCTTTTTTCAGAGATCTTATCTTATCTTCTGCAAAGATGTCAGAAAGAGATAAGCTAGCCGTTTTTGGAGTTTCATCTCCATGTAAATGAGCTCCCAAACTTCATCTGATATTCTTCTGGTTTAACGTTGAGTGGGAATATCTGGGTCTCTGTTTTGGTGTAGAATGGCTTCTTTGATCAGCTCTGAAGTGGTCCTTGTATCTTTGGGATTTAAAAATAATCTTCATTTTAATCCCATACTAGTTAGACTAGTATTTTTCCTTGTGAGAATATTTTCACTGTAAGTTCTTCTTCATCTTCTTCATTCTCACGTCTGGGTGTTATTAGATTTCTTCATCTTCTTCATTCTCACGTCTGGGTGTTCTCAGACTTCAAATTGGCTTTGAACTTCCACCCAATTTCAATTTCTCCTTTGTAATTGACTCCCAATTGACTTTGACTTGCAATTGGCTCATCTCAATTCAATTGCTCGCTCCTCAATGTCTTCTTTTAATTGGTCCCCAATTTGAATTGCATCCCATACTACAACAATTTGAATTGCATCCCATACTACAACTTGAATTGGCTCCCAATTTCAATTCTACATTGGCTCCCATCTTGAATCCCATACTACAACTTGAATTGGCTCCCAATTTCAATTCTACATTGGCTCCCATCTTGAATCCCATACTACAACTTGAATTGGCTCCCAATTTCAATTCTACATTGGCTCCCATCCCAATTTCAATTCTACATTGGCTCCCATCCCAATTTCAATTCTACATTGGCTCCCATCCCAATTTCAATTCTACATTGGCTCCCATCTTGAAACCCATACGCCATCCAATTTCAATTCTACATTGGCTCCCATCTTGAAACCCATACTACAACTTGAATTGGCTCCCAATTTCAATTCTACATTGGCTCCCATCTACAACTTGAATTGGCTCCCAATTTCAATTCTACATTGGCTCCCATCTTGAATTGATTCCATGTGAAACTTGCTCCCAATTTCAATTCTACATTGGCCCCCATCTTGAATTGATTCCATGTGAAACTTGCTCCCAATTTTCAATTCTACATTGGCCTTCACATGCTCCCAATTTTCAATTCTACATTGGCCCCAATCTTGAATTGATTCCTTGTGAAACTTGGCCCCCATCTTGAATTGATTCCATGTGAAACTTGCTCCCAATTTTCAATTCTACATTGGCTCCCATCTTGAATTGATTCCATGTGAAACTTGGCCCCCATCTTGAATTGATTCCATGTGAAACTTGCTCCCCCATCAGATTTAATTTCAATTTCGGCGCCCAATGCTAGACTAGCGCCCATTTTCAATTCTACATTGGCTCCCATCTTGAATTGATTCCATGTGAAACTTGGCCCCCATCTTGAATTGATTCCATGTGAAACTTGCTCCCCCATCAGATTTAATTTCAATTTCGGCGCCCAATGCTAGACTAGCGCCCAACTCCATCAGATTTAATTTAATTTGAGAACCATCAGATTTAATTTAATTTGGCTTCTCAAATTTTACCTTATAAAATTGTTGATAGTGAGTTTTGAACTTGAGCCATTTCACATAATATATCAAACATCATCCACTTCATCCATACAACCTTTGATTAAATCTCCAATCTTCTTTGATGTACTCCTTTCTTTCCATAGATGCTTGATCTCCAAGTTAATTTCATGCAATCTTCCAATCGTAATTTTCTTCAACGAAAATTCTCCTGGGAACTCCTTTTTGAGTAGCATTGACGTGAATATTATCATTCTTCTTCTTCTTCAATTTGCCATTTTCTCCAGACAAATTCTTGATTTTAGGCTTGATATCTTTTTCTACCATTTTCATGCATCTTCCTCTGTTTTTCTCTTTTGCAACTTAAATAATTTCCTGATCATGGTCTAAGACTCTACTAGACCTATAAAATAAAATTGGGGGATCTACAAATACATATTTGGCATATCAAAATCATTACACTTTATTCCTAACAATTTCCCCCCCCCCCCCCCCCCCCCCTTTTTTTTGAAAGGAGCCTGTACGGCATTTTATTCAAAATATGCAGCAATAGAAGCTGGTGGATCTGTGTCCCAGCACATAAAAGTTGAGTGAGTAAAAGCAGTAGATGCTAATGTATGCGTTAAATAATTATCTAATCTAGGAATATAATGAAGAAAACAATAATCAAAAGTCGATATACTAGTCCTGCAACTATCAATGGCATAACCCAAGTAGGATCGTGACGAGTGTGTCCTAGACGACAAATATTGCTGAAGCACCAAACAATCCGTGTAGAGCTCGATAGACTTTATTTCGCGGTTTCTCAACCACGATAAAACTTCCTTGCATGCGAAAGCTTCCGCCATTAGGGGTGAAAAACAATCTATCATTGGAGTAGTCATAGCCGAAATATATCCCCCTTGCCCATTTAGAATAATAGCTCCCACCACTGCTTTGTTTGTTCGTGGGTCGTATGCCGCATCGAAGTAACATTGATCCGTCATGTTCTGAGTATGGCGTGAGTTGCTTGGCGTGGACTGCTGTGGTTGATGCAGCACCGTGTTCGGCATGGCAGCAACACTCACTTGCATGGGCACCGGCGCTACAGTGTGTTCGGCCACTAGTATATGATGATCCGAATTCACAGTGTTGGACAGCAGATTTGGGCTTTGGTGGTGGGCCAACTTCCAAGCACTCAGAGCTGATGATGCCATTACAATCACCTTCCGAGGTCTGGGCAAGTACGCATCCCATACAGCTCCATTCCTTGTGCGCCAAATATAATAGAGAATCGCCACTGCATAAATAATCCCATCATCATCTAAAACATTCATCAAATCATTAAACCAATCACTAAAAATATTTGTGACACTATTAGGGATTGGAAGGTGGGATTGTGCCCAAATGTCTGCCGTATAATCACACGCAACCAAAGAGTGCACCACATCTTCATGTCCAATTCCACATATAGCACATGTTGGATCAATATCAACCCTCTTTATAAGTAGGTTCCTTGTAGTGGGCAAAATATCACTCAGAGCTCTCCATAAAAATGTTTTCCACCTGGGGGGATTTTAAGTTTCCACAATTTCTGCCATTTATCAAATGTCCCCACTGGTTGGGTATATTCTCCAATTACTGTTCTATATCCACTTTTAACAGAATATTCACCTTTTGGGTCCCCATACCAGTACCACATATCTTCATAATCTGGTGACACAGGTATTTTCAAAATTCGCTCCACATCCTCAGGTATGAAAATATCTGTGAGAATATCTTTATCCCAGGTTCCTGTCAGTTGATCCAACAGACCCACTACCTTTGCCTGTGCCAACTGGGGTGGTTTTTCCGTTAATATTTGTGGCCGACTTTCATCATGCAACCAAGGATGATCCCATATTAATGTTGACTGGCCATTCCCAATTCTTCTCCTAACTCCCCCACAAATCAACTTTTGTGCTGCCAAAATACTTCTCCAACAAAAACTTGGGTTATTCCCCAAGCATGCATCATAAAAAGAATTAGTGGGATAATACCTGGCTTTATAAACTCTTGAAACCAATGATTGTGGCTGTGTCAGAAAACGCCACGCTTGCTTACCTAGCATAGCAAGGTTAAATGCCTGCAACTCCTTAAACCCCAATCCTCCATATTTCTTCGGGATACATAACTTATCCCATGCTTTCCAATGAATACCTTGATCATTGTTTGACCTCCACCAGTACCGATTCATGGTTCGCTCAATGGCAGTGCATAGAGAGGTGGGCAGTAAAAAGACACTCATTGAGAAGGTAGGCATAGATTGAGCCACACTTTTCAATAGGACTTCCTTCCCTGCTTGTGACAAGAGTTTCTTATTCCAAGAGCTAATTCTTTGTCTTATCTTATCCTCAATATAAGAAAAAGCTGCCCTTCTATTTCTGCCCACAAATGATGGAAGCCCTAAGTACTTCCCAAAATTCTGAGCCTGTACCACTCCCAATATACTGGCAACCTCTTCCCTTATTTCATCTCTGGTATTTTTACTATAACAAATACTCGATTTATGATAGTCGACAGCCTGACCAGACATTTCTTCATACTTTTCCAGACAACATTTAATCACACCTGCTTCTTGGGCATTTGCTTTGAAAAAAAGCAAGCTATCATCAGCAAAAAATAGGTGGGTAATAGAAGGTGCGCCTCTAGCAACTCTACATCCATGTATCTCTCCCTTCGCCTGTGCCTGTTGTAATAATAGTGAAAGTCCTTCAGCACAAATAATACATAAATAGGGCGATAGGGGATCACCCTGCCGTAAACCACGAGTCGGAATTATTTGATCACTCCATGAACCATTAACCAGTACACTATAAGACACCGTGGTTACACACATCATCAACAACTCCACCCATCTTTCATCAAATCCCAACGCCACTAGCATGTTTTGCAAGAAGGACCATTCCATACGGTCGTAGGCCTTTGCCATATCCAGCTTTAAAGCCCCCCAACCTGCTAGTCCACATTGCTTCTTGTTTAAATAATGTCCAACTTTCGCAGCTATCAATATGTTATCTGTGATTAGTCTCTCAGAGATAAACGCACTTTGGGACTCAGATATAATATTTTCCATTAGTGGTTTCATTCTGGCAGTAATAACTTTGGCCATAATCCTATAAATGACATTACTTAAAGCAATCGGTCTATAGTCAGAGACCATCTCCGGGGCTTTCTTCTTCGGGATCAAAATAATATTCGTTTCATTCAGCTGACCAAGTAACGAACAAGTATTCAGACAATTGACAATATATGAAGATACATCAGTCCCCACCACATCCCAGAAGTGCTGATAAAATCCAGGATTCATCCCATCCGGGCCTGGTGCTTTATCAGGATACATTGAAAACAATGTTGATTTAACCTCACTCTCTTCAAAAGGGCGCAATAACCCCTCATTCTGTATAGCCGTTACACGTGGTTGTATACCCTCAAAGAAATCATTATTAATTGCAGGAGAACTTGAGTAAAAAATACTACGATAATAATCCAAGATAATATTTCTCATGGCATCCCCCTCAATCCAATCCCCATTATCATTCATAATTTTAGTAATAGCATTCTTTTTCTTTCGATGAGAAGCATACCTGTGGTAAAATCTGGTGTTTGCATCCGCACCCTTGAGCCAATGCTGTTTGGCCCTCTGCCTCCAGTAAGTATCTTCCTGCAATTCTACACGTGTCAAGCATTCTTCCAATCTCTGAAACTCAGCTAGAGACACTGGATCCGTACACCCTCTGAGGCGCAGTTGTTCTTTCCGCAAGCACAATATTTTTTCACCAAACTTGTGGAATCGGTCTCCACCCCAGCGTGTTAACCGGTCACCACATAATGTGACACACTCCTGCAATCCCCTACTTCTCCCTTCGCCCCACGATTTTTCCACCACCGCTCGACATCCTTCATCATGTAGCCATGCCATCTCAAATCGAAACCCTCTTCTCAGGCCACCCCTCCTTTCCCGAAGATTGAGAATCCCAAGGAAAAGAGCTGAGTGATCTGACTTTCTGGTTAGAATATTCTGCACACTTGCATCGGCTACCAGCTCTCTCCAATCCTGAGTGGCCAACACCTTATCTAGTCTTTCCTCAATCCAGTTTGGAGTGCCCTTCCCCTTTTCCCAAGTAAATGGATATCCAGACATCGGTAATTGTGTCAAGCCACACTCTTCAGTTGTCTCTCCAAAACCCCGTAACAAGTTATCTGGATGGGGATTTCCTCCTCGTTTCTCATACTGATATAAGAGATCATTAAAATCTCCAATGATTACCCACGGCAGATCAGATTTTCCTGCTAATGAACGAATAAGATCCATGACTCCCTTCTCTGTGGACGTTTCGAGAAGCCATAGAAACCAGTCATCCTCCACTTACTAAACCCCGGCATACTTACTTCAATATCTATATGATTATCAGAATAACCTGTTAAATTCGATGTACTGTTTTCCATCCATAATAATGCCAAGCCTCCACTCAGTCCAGAATTATCAACATTAAAAAGACCATCAAAACCAAGCTTAACCCGAAGTCGTTCTGCATGATCCCGGTTAACCTTGGTCTCAATCAGAAATACAAAGTCGGGTTTCTTACGGGACACCATGTCCTCAATTTCCCGAACTGTCCGTGGATTACCCAAGCCACGGCAGTTCCAGCTCAATGTACTCATTGGATCGGGCCGGTCTGCACCGCAGCACCCGCCATCTGCAAGTTTTTTTGAACGTCTGTCATCGTTATATCCTCCTCCACTACCCCCTCATCAACCCGGCTTACCCTACAATCCCCATCCTCCGGTGGCACCGAGGCCGTAATGTCCGAATCCACACTCACACCCACAACCATCCCCCGCCCAGCCTCACCCTCCGTTCTTCGCCTTTTTGGATCCACCCTCACCCCCTCATCCTCCCCAGCAACCTCTTTCTCCTTTACTACTTCCGGTTGTCGAACCCCACCCTCACCCGCCACCCCAACTTTCGCCACCCGCCCCCCTAATCCTGCCACCACCGCCCTCTCACCCACTGCACAAGCCTGCCCGTATCTCCCCATACCGTAGCCAATTTCCTTCCTCCTTTCTTGCCCTAGCTTGAACCATTTATCCCCTATTAACTTGGTTGGGCTATGTCCCCCCGCCCTCATTGCTGCACCAAACATGTACTGTTCCGGAGTTAACAAAGAACGCCGAGCAGCTAAACAAAACTTATCAGTATGCCCCATTATTCCACAAAAGAAGCAAAACATATGTAGACGCTCGTACTTGAAATTTATCCACGTCCATGTCCCATCCCGTATAATCATCTTCATACGGCGTTTCAATGGCACCGTTACATCATGCGTTATACGTATCCGATAAAACGAGGTCCATGATCTCTCAAAGTTACGCTCATCATACCGTATAAATACCCCCGCGAAATCTCCAATCCGTTCAAGCACCTTCACCGTACGGTATCCCAAAGGGATATCATAAACCTGTAACCAGAAATCCACAGTGTTCAAAACCACCTGCGTTGGATCGACTCCGTCCTCCAAAACTTGACAAATTAATGTCGTGTTCTCAAACGCTCAGGGCCCCTCCTCCAACACCCGGCGCATATCAGTTTCATCAAAAAACGTAAAGAGATACAGGTTCGGAAGTACATCTGTTATCTCTATCCCCATGAGAGGTCGCCAAGCCGAGGCCATCACCCTCTTCATCACCTCTACTTTCATAATTCTATCGGTTAAAAATCTTCCGACCAATGTCCATGTAGTACGCACAGGGGGCTGCACTGGATTCTCGTAAACCTCCTCCTCAAATCGCACGCCATCCTCATCATCCTCCAGATTCATATCTGCTGCTGACGCTACAAGCTCACGTATACTCATCGCCTTACGGTTGCTGACTGGCCGGTTGAATGCCGAAAGTCGATCAAGTTTGCCGAAACCCTAGAAAGCAGGGAGAACCAATCGAGAAAGCCCTAGATCCAAGGGAGAACCAATCGAGGTATATATATTTCCCCCCTTTTGATAATGCCAAAACCTATACTCAGTCATTGGCTTTAAGTCTTTGAAAAATAATCTTTTTACTCAATTTTATTTGACAAAGCCAAGATGAGTTTACAATGGTTTTCTAGACACAATCAAAAGAAAATTGTGAATTAATTTTTAGACAAGCTCCTAAATGCATCTTGAATTATTTTTATTTTGATCATCATCAATTTTTAATTTTGTCGTGCGTTTGACATATTTCTTGTCTTTTAATTCACGAAAGTCTAATTACATTAATCAAATAAAATTAAAGACTCAAAATAGACCATGAGAAATTATTATTGATATATTTCGGATTTTATAGAGAAAAACGCAACAGAGGTTCGAAAATAGAAAATATCAGCTTAAGAGAATTTTCTAGATTACCTTCTGGGTTTCTTCACTCCCATGTCTTTCTTCAAAATATCCTTGACATGTTCCCTGAGCTTGAAGAAATCATCTTTGAGCTTTGCATTCTGGAATCTCTTTGTAACTTGCCCAGCCATGTAGTATCCGAAAGCTTCCTTGATATTGGTGCCCGGAAGAACTCCAGCTTCCCACCATACAACACATTCTTTGAAGCTTCTTTCTTCTCCAAGATTCACGCCCATATTTCCAGTGAAATCTCTTAGTTCATACCACATCTCGGTTCTTCTCCGTTTACCTTCTTCTTCTTTATTTTTGTCCCAGATCCATTGGGCTTGATCGGCTGCAGGCCATTTCTTGATCATGTATGGTAGATTTTCCTTCGTCCATACGGTTATCTGAGTGGCAGGACCTTTTGAACATTCAAACCAGCCACGAGTTTCAGCAACTTTCGATGTACTCGTACCAAGACTATGATTCGCGAACTGAGCAAAACCAATTTGAGATGGTTCTTTTGAGGGTTGTCCGCGACTTCGGTCTCTACCTTGAGTAGATATTACTGGTTGTTGTTGACTTCCAAGAATAAATTCTTGTTGTTGCAAAGCCAAGTGACTGAGAATTTCTTCCCCCCTTTTGGCGTTATCAACCAAAAATGCAAGGGTCTTAAAGTCTCGGTCTTGGTTTGCCTTCACAGTTTCAACACTATTGTGTGTTTCAATGGAAACGGTTTGTACGTTGTCCAGCTTGTTTGTTGTAACTGCGAGTTCAACTTCAAGTTTGTTGATTCAGCTTTCTTGGTCTTGAATCGCCTTGATTTGTCGCAAGTGACGTTCGTTGTGAATCTTTTCAGCAGCTTCACGTTCCTTCTTCATGAGTTGAATGACTTACAGTGAGCCTTTCGTCACTTTTCCTTTCAAGATTCTTTCTGATTTGTCAATCTGTGTCTTCAAAGAATTTTGATGCTCCATTAATTCTTTCAGATTGACTCGGGTATCCGTGTGTTGTTGTTCTAATATTTGGTTTTGTTCAACCAACTTTTCTCCAATTGTTTGACATACAACATCACTGGATTCGGCAACCTTGGCAAATAAGGATGAAAATATGCCATCTTCTTGTTCATCTATCTGCACAAAGTTTTGAGGGGATCCGAATGGACTTCTATTCGGATCTGTGAGAATAATTGTGTCAATGAGTTGCATCCCTTCTTCTTCAGGTGATTCGGCTTCTTGATTGAGATCACCAATTTCTTCTTCTAAGACCTCTATTCTCGTGTAGTTCTCTGTAAGTAAATCTTCATTTTGTGGAACAGGGTCCATGATGTGCATAGTAGACTCGGTATTGTGTATTGGCAATACACTGGATAATTGCTCCCTGTTTTCAATAGCAACTCCAACTGCAACTTCCACTGGTATATCTCTTCTTTTCTGACACTTCTCCTCTAAATTCTTCTCGTACTGACACTTTGGTTTCATCAGATCCCACAATTCTTTCATTGCACTCAAGAGTCACATTCATTGGTGTGGGGGTCAGATCAGATATTAATAGAGAAGCATCATGGACTTTTACAGGTATATCCATATGATTTTCGGTGCTCATGATTGGTACATCAATGAGTGCCGTCCCTTCAGTTCTTTCATCAAAAAGCTCATTATCCACAAGAGATGTATTACCTGGATAATGGTGTGTGTCATAAACTGACCTTTGTAGAGCTAACTGAAGTGATATCTCATTCCGTCTTTCTTGTTCGGTTAACCGGTCTTGAGCCGTGTCTCCTTCTCTGATTGGTGCTTTTCCCTTGCGTCTGATTTCTTTTTCATGTAGCTTCAAGTGATAGACTTGATTTAAATCCATGTTGAGTGCCTCGAGCATCACATTAGTTCCGCACCATTCCTAGGAAAAATCTTCACTCCTTATCAAATCTGGGGTGATTTTTGACATGAAAGAGTGATATCTTTCAAGCTTCCATTCTCTCCAAGTTTTCACTTGCATTAACTCCTTTAACAATTCTGGATCATCTTGAATGAGTTCTGAGTCAAATATCATCGGTCCTGCACTTTCTTCGGCTACAGAGTGACTCGAGAGCCTTCTTTGTAGATCATTTGAAATTTGCACATCAACTCCTGCAAATTCCATTCTTGTTGTATCATCAACTCCTTCGGCTTACATGTTTGGTTCGGCATATTTGAGTGGAACCACTGCCATAGCCGTACTGATGGCTTCTTGATCTCTTCCTGATCGATTGCTTGATCCTACTTGATTACTTGAGGTTGAGATTGCTTTGCTATTTCTCGGTCTGGAACTCTGAGGTGTTCTTGAACTTGTTGAACTGCCACATTCTTGTCCTTTTCTTTGACTTGATCTTTTTCCAAAATTCAGACTGAATTTTCTGAACAAAACTCTATAAATTCCAACATTCTTGTGCTTTCTCATTGGAATTTTCTTCTGTCTGAGTAGTTCTCCAATTATGAGACCATAACCAATGTTTTGATAGAATCGATCAACCACAGCCGGTTTGTTCATTGGTTTGGTAGATTGCACAAACAACATCATCTTCCTGTAGATAAATCTTGCCCATTTGAATTTGATTCCCTTCATAATTCCGTCCATCAGGCATACGGTTGATGCGGTCAAATCTTCAGTACTTCCCAGTTTATTTTCAAGAATTTTGTAGATCATGTCCACCAACATCTCATATTCAATCTTCAAAAAATTCTTGTGGCCGGAAACATCAGAAAATATTGGAGCCGTAGGGCCACGAATCTCGTTCCAAAAATTTTGAACAACATAGCTGTGAGATTCTGGCATGAACTGAGATTCAGGAAAATTGAAGCACTTGTGTATATCGTTCTCAGTTATTGAAACTTCCGATCCTCCAACTCTAGATTTGATTGAGTCCTTTTCCACGACTGCATGTAGATAAAATTCAGCTACATCTTCTTCAAAAGTTCCA